CGGAAGGAGAGTCCTTCCCTTCTTGGACCCTTCGGCCTCCCCAGTTGGGGCGGCCTTCCTTTTCTTGTCTCCCCCGCCTGGAGGGGGAGCATCTTCTTCTTCCTCCTTGTCTTCGGGGGAGGAGTGTGCCGCAGAGTTATCGGTCGATGAGTTCGATAACACCTGGCGCCAGGAACTCTTTCGGGTTCCCTTGGCCTTCTTGGTATTCTCCAGCACCTTGTAAGGAGCCGGAGTCAGCATCTCCGTCAGGAGAGCGCCCGCAGTATCTTCGGGCAAAGGGGCCGAACAGTCGATCTGCCCCGACATCTCCACCCAGTCCTGTCAAAGGCATGGAGATTAGACCCCGCACATAATTAAGCTAGGGAAAATAAATGTCCTACGGGACATATTGAACTCACCGAACGCGCTAGGCGCTTTGCGCTTAGTCTGCGGTCCTCGGCGAGAGAAGGAGGGACCTCGGCACCCTTGAACAGCACCTTCCATACGTCCTTGTGCGTCGTATCAAAGATCTCACTCGGAGTCTGGTGCCGGGCCGGGTCAAACTCCCACAAGGTAAAATCCCGTTGTTGAAACGGGAGGATCCGGCGGATGAGCATAACTTGGACTATGTTGACAAGCTTGAGCTTCTTTCTTGCCATACTCCAGATACATTTCTAGAGTCCATCCGGCTCCACTGACGAACCCCACGACAAGCCCTTCTCTTTCCAAGAAGTGAGCCATGTAGGGAATCCGAATCGAAACTCGAGGACTGCCACCCATTTGGCATCGCGCGGCTCGGTGATGTAGAACCACGTCGATTGCCATCCCTTTATTGTCTCCACGAAGGAGCCTTCGAGCCATATGACGTTGGGCATCTTGCCCACCATGGCTCCGCCGCATTCTGCTTGTTGGCCTCGTACCACCTTCGGCTTGATATTGAAGGTCTTTAACCACAGGCCGAAGTGGGGCCGATGCGGAGGAAAGCCTCACACACGACGATGAACGCCGAAATGTTGAGGATGAAGTTCGGGGCCAGATCATGAAAGTCCAGCCCGTAGTAAAACATGAGACCACGGATGAATGGATGGAGGGGAAACCCTAGTCCGCGGAGGAAGTGGTGAAGGAAAACTACCCTCTTGTGAGGTTCTGGGGTAGGGACGATTTGCCCCGCAGTGGGCAGCCGATGCGCGATGTTCGCGGCTAAGTATCCGGCTCCGTGCAGCTTCTTGATGTCTCCCTCTGTGACGGAGGAGACCATCCACCTGCCTCCTGCTCTGGACATGATTGGAGAAGGTTGAGGTGGGAAGTGCGGACTTGGGCGCTAGAGCTCGAGTGTGCAAAAACGGATGAGCGAAGGAGGAAGAAGGCGTGGATAGAAAGGTGAATCCCTATCCCTTTATATGGGCAGATGAAACTAAGCATCCCCACTTGCCTGGTAAAACTCGCTTATCCCCCAAACGCCGTAATTGATGGCGCGGTTGGGGTTACCCACGCCGGTATTGATGAGAATCCCGTAATAAGGGGACACGATCTCTACTTTGACAAGACGTGTCGAAAAACCGCCTCGCGTTATGTGCAGGGCTGGTTGAAGGAAACGGTTCGAATAATCACCAGGCCACGACATAACGTCATGCTACCAAAACAAGCTAGCAAACTAGATCTGCGAAAATATTATTCTCTGTACGGTGGAATGTGGAACTTATTTTGCAGGGTCGGACACTATCCTCGTGTTCAAATTCTTCTGTGATGTATTCGAGAAGGAACCCGCCTTGCAATGCCGAATACAATACTACGCGCCGGACTCATCGTCATTGAAGCCTGGTTCAGGGGCTACTGAGGGAGTCCTGGATTAGGGGGTCTCCGGACAGCTGGACTATCTCCATTGGCCAGACTGTTAGACTATGAAGATGCAAGATTGAAGACTTCGTCTCGTGTCCGGATGGGACTCTACTTGGCGTGGAAAGCAAGCTAGGCAATACGGATATGGATATCTCCTCCTTTGTAACCGACCTTGTGTAACCCTAACCCTCTCCGGTGTCTATATAAACCGAAGGGTTTTAGTCCGTAGGACAACAACCACAACATACAATCATACCATAGGCTAGGCTAGCTTCTAGGGTTTAGCCTCTCTGATCTCGTGGTAGATCTACTCTTGTACTACCCATATCATCAATATTAATCGAGCAGGACGTAGGGTTTTACCTCCATCAAGAGTGCCGAACATGGGTAAAACATCGTGTCCCCTGCCTCCTGTTACCATCCAGCCTAGACGCATAGTTCGGGACCCCCTACCTGAGATCCGCCGGTTTTGACACCGACAGTGAGAAACTAGCAAGCAAAGATAGAAGTGATTTCGAGGGTATGGTCATCTTGCCTGAGATCCCGCAAGGAAGAAGAACGAGTCCATGAAGAAGACAAAATGACTTAGTCAAACGGATCCTCACAAACGCAACGTTACCGGATTACCGAGAAGTACACCGGAAAGAAAGCAAACAACATAGTGAAAAATCATCACATAAGAATGGCACGATGCACAAACAAGTATGATGCATGTCCGATTTAATGAGGCATGGCATGGCAAAGTGCACAAACAACCCTACAAATTAAATGGAGCTCAATATGCAACTCTGTTCCATATTGATGAAACACCACGTGACTTATTTAGTTTGATCTTTATTATGTACCCAACAATATTAAAAGTTGTTAAACATGGCAAGAGGGTGAAGCAAAATGAAAACTACCTATCTAGGCAAGTTTAAATGAGGTCGGAACAACAAACAACAAGTCCGGAAACTCCTCATGTGCATGTTTTAAGGTTTGGCACTGTTCTGCCCTAAACACAATTTTAGAGTTGTTAAACATGCCAATCAATGTCACCATGTTAAAATAGGCATTTTTCTACCCCATTTACATATAGAGTTAATTAAATTTGGAGCTACGGTTAATTAGTTATGAATTAAATCATTTTAGCATGGCATAGGAGCATATTAATGCAAACAGCAGGTTAAACAATTCAAACATGCATGAAAGTTGGATATTATGAAATTAGATGAAATTCTAATCATATTTCACATATAAATTCTTTTAATCCGATGCACGGTTTGTGAGGTGTTATATGCATGAACTCTAGGGATTTTTCTGCAAATCTGCAGTCTCAGGATAAATACACAAATTCGCAGACGCTGGAAAAACATCATATGGGTCGAAACATGAACTGGGCCAATAGCAGGAAAGGAAGGTGGGGCGCTGGGGGTGTGGCTTCACCTAGTGGGCCTTGGCCCGCTCGGTTTAGGACTGGAGGAGGCCGGATCATGGGGAAGTAGGCTGGGCCTTGGCAGCAGCCCAGCGAGGCCCTGCACGAGCGCGTGGCTGCAGTCAACGAGCGGGCGAGCGGGAAGCAGAGGAGGCCGAGGCGCCATGGTAGGGGAACGGCAGCGACGATGGGACTTGGGGGTGCCGGCGGCGGGGACGGGGCCCTGACAGCGGGATCCGGCCGAGGACGGGCAATGGAGGTGGAGGAAGGCGGCGGCTTGGCAGTTGGCGTCCACGACGTTCGCGGTTGCCTGCAGAACAAAGACAGGGGGATTCAGAGAAGAAAATGGGGAAGAGCAGAAGGATACAGCAAGGGAGATGGCAGGGTGACAACCACGGCGTCCTCCAGCGAGAAAAACTTGGCGGCGCGGCAGGGAGTTGTTCTCCGGTGAGCAGAGGCGCGGTAGGGGGGTCCATAGCGCGTGGGCTTGAGGCCACGGGGCCCTGGTAGCGCGGTCGCCGGCGATGTTAGAGGTGCTGGCTTGCTGGTCTTGGACATCGGCGGGGATGGCAGGGCTTGGCAGTGGTGGTTCCAAATGCCAGCGGAAGAGGTAGCTCTAGGAGGCGCAGGGTTTGGGGATCGAGGAACAGGATGGGTGCACTAGCTAGATGGATCGATGGGACAAAAGAATTGGGGATGGATCTGGTTGGTTGGCTGCGAAAAACGAGGAGGATGCGGCGGCGACCGAGGGGATGGATCCCGAGGGGGATTCGATGGAGTGTGGCGGCGGCTGAGGGGGAACAAAAGACCTAGATTTTAGGGTTGCTGCCTAGGGGATTGGTCTATATATATAGCATTGGATTTTGGTTAGGGGCTATTCGGTCCATCCGATCATAATCGGACGATCCCGGATAATTAGGTTAGGGGACCCAATTAACAAAACGGAGACGTTTTATAGATGTTTGGGGATGATCCGGACACAATGCTGACGACTGCCCGGGTCGGGTCCGGGGAAGTTTCAGACGCGCACGTGAGGGGTCGGTTGGAACTTGTGG